ATGAGGAGAGGGAGATAGCTTCTCCACTGCTGACAGAGACTGCCAGAATGCTTGTTTCTGTTGATCAGGCAGCAGGCTCTACTCTCCTGACATCAGCAGTAAGAGCCATTAGCACTGCCCACTGCTTATTCATATGGAAATTGTGGGATTTGCATATTAAGGAGCCGCAAAGTGATTTGCATATGAATGTCCTATGCAAATCACACACAGAGATCTTTTTTTCGGAACTTGCCGATACTGAGTACCGGTGCCTTGATTATCAGGAAGTGGGGCGGGGGATCATGAACGCGGGGGATCAAAGAACACCGGCTTCACTTGCCAGGCTGCCTGGCTTCCTGATTGGCTAGGAAGCTTGCTTCACATGTTGCTAAGCAGCCTGGCCTATTTTTTGCGTTTTTTGCACACTTTAAAAACCACATTTTAGACCTGAAAATAACTTAAAACACCCAAACCTTATATATTTTCTGAAAGCAAAGACCCTGTAGAATTAAATGGTGGCAGTTGCAAATTTTTATGTCGTACGATATTAGCGCAACTCTGTATCAAACCAAAAAAGTAGTAAAAAAATGCACTTAATTTTAGTGCCCAAAAACACAGAATATAACAACCATTATTTTGAAAAATGTAAAAGATGAGGTTACGACGAGTAAGTAGATACCCAACATGCCCAGGTTAAAAATCGCATGCGTGCGAGAAACGGCGACAAAATACAGTACTCCAAATTGTCCAAAGGCAAGTTAACCCCTTAGTGACCAGTGACGCCCATAGTACGTCACTGGCACCGGGCCTGTTTAAACAGACTCCAGACGGACTGTTTACATTTGTAAAGCTGACTGTCGGCTTGAAAGGGTTCTAAACCCCCCGGTTTCTTTTTGCCTATATCTACTGCTATCAAGCAGTAGATATAGGCAAAAACACGTTTTAACAGCGGTTTAAACTTACCTTGTTTTTGCTGCGCGCTCCCGTCCGAGAAAACGAAACTGCTCCAGCGGCCGCAAAGCATCTTGGGCGGGCGCATGCGCAGTTCGGATTCACAGCCGGGAGACAAGCAGACAGGCATGGTAAGTCTATGGACGCGTGCGTCCGCATGCAGACACCGCTGGATCGGAAGTGCCTGCAAGCAGAGAGGAGTCAGTGCTGGATCGGATAGCTGCCGCACCGCTGGAGGGACAGATGAAAACATCAGGAAAGAAGAGGAAGATCGGATTAAGAGACATCATTAAAGGTAAGTGCTGACATTAACATTGGGCGGAGGGAAAAAAAACCTATCCTTTAATGTCACTAACAATAGAAGCGATTCTAGCAACTCAGCTGTTGTCAGATGGCTTCTACAGGCCGGTAAACTGCCCCCCCCCCCCTTCTGAAAACCCTTT